TATGCTTTTTTTTCACCGAATTATTGAGGCTCCATATATATATATATATATATATATATATATATATATATATATATATATATGAAGAAAAATTTTAAATATAATATTTTCAGACGTTTCAATAACATATTCATAAATATAACATAACATTATATAAATATGACAAAGACGAGATGAACATTAGAACAAGACTTATCCAAACAATAACTGAAAGTTGTATTGATAATGTTATATTTATGAATATGTCCTGAAGATGGTTTATTAGACCGAAACGTCCGACGTTGACATATTAACATTAAAACAACATAATCGTATATATGATTTTGTTTTGTTTTTTTTCCGTATATATTTTCAATACCGTCGGATCTATATCCATATATTTGCTTACATATATATATATATATATATATATATACATATATAAGTAGACATATAACATAATTTGCCCAGTTCTACACACACTTACTCGCTTCAGCATACATGCAGACTTACACAAGCATATTTATACAAAATCAAATAAAGATATGCAAACATCAGCTCCTATTTCGCATTAACGCATTAATTGGCAATGCACAGATCCAAGGACATCCTTAGGGCCGTACCGTTGCCTCGTTTTGGATTCAGATTCACGTTCAGACGCCACGGCCAACACTGTTTTGCAATGCATCCTTACTCAAAGCAGCCGCCTGGTCCATTCTGTAGTATTTGCATAACAAAAGGCAACTGATAGCAGCGTGCCGCTTTCGAGGTTGGATTCTCGACATGTTATCAGATCTAAGCTTCCCGCGATCAGCACCAGATCCAATTGATGAAAGAAATACCAACTCTTGGACCAAAAGAGGATTGGCACGGGTTTCGACGCCTAGGTTAAAAATTCTACCCAACAAAGAGCAGAATTGCTTATGGTAAGTGAAAGAAAGAAAGAAAGAAAGAAAGAAAGAAAGAAAGAAAGAAAGAAAGAAAGAAAGCTCGTGTACAGAAATAAATATAAGTTACAAACGAGAAAAAGAAGACGTGAGAGAAAATCATAAGTAATAAAAAGAAAGAAAAGAAAGAAGGAAAAAAGAAACAAAGAAGAAAAAATGGAAACGAAAGAGAGAAAGAAAAAGAAAGAAAGAAGGAAAAAAGAAAAGAAAAAAGAAGGAAAAAAGAAAGAAAGAAAGAAAGAAAGAAAGAAAAGAATGAGAGAGCGTGTATCGAAGAGATATAAATAAAATACTAACGAAAAAAAAACGAAAATGAGAGAGAAGAAAATCATAATAAGTGAAAAAAGAAAGAAAGAAAGGATGATGGAAGATTAGGTAAACGTGTGAGTAAAGGAAAAAAACAACAAAAGAATAATGATGAAAAGAAAAGAAAGAAAATCACAAGAATTGGTCAAAGAAAGAAAAGGAATGTAAAAAGGAAAAAGCAAATGAAAAAAAAACGGCTGTAAGTAATATATGGACAAAGGAAAGAAGCAGTAAAAGAGATGACTGGAAAATAAGTAAATAAAGTAAAAATGAGAAAAATAGAAAGAAGGTAAATATTAGAAATAAGCGACAGAAAGAAAGAAAGAAAGACAAACAGACAGACTGAAAAAGAGAAAAAGACAGAAAGAAATAATACAATGTTAGAGCGAATACAGTAAAGAATAATAATTAAACACAACAAAAAAGAAAAATAGAAAAACTAAAAACATTTGAAATGCACGAAAGAACGAAAAAGACAAAAATAGAACAAAAAATGAAAAAAAAAATGAAAAAGTAAGAAAACAAAGAGAGTGAGAGAGAAGATCGGCATATAAATGAGAGAGGGAAAACGTTTTAAAAAGATAATCATAAAAAATTAGGGGGAAAATCTACACGACAAGGAACTGAATTATTTCTGGGGAAAGAAAGAAAGAAAGAAAAAAAGAAAGAAAGAAAGAAGAAAGAATACAAACGAGAAATAAGAAAATCATAAAGAAAGAAAGAAAAAAAGAAAGAAACAATGCAAATGAAAAGAAGAAAATCATAAAAAAGAAAGAAAAGAAAGAAAAGAAAAAAGAATACAAATGAAAAAAAGAAAAAAAAGAAAGAAAGAAAGAAAAGAAAGAAACAAAGAAAGAAAAAGAAAAGAATACAAATGAAAAGAAGAAAATGGCAAAGAAAAAAAGAAAGAAAGAAAGAAAGAAAGAAAAGAAAGAAAGAAAGAAAAAAAAGAAGAAAAAAAAGAAAAAAAAAAGAAAGAAAGAAAAAGAAAGAAAAAGAAAGAATACAAATGAAAAAGAAAATAATAAATAAAGAAAGAAAGAAAAGAAAAGAAAGAATACAAATGAAAAAAGGAAGAAAAGAATAAAAAAGAAAAAAAAAGAAAAGAAAAAGAAAGAATAGAAATGAAAAAGAAGAAATAAAGAAAGAAAAAAAGAAAGAAAGAAAGAAAAAAAAGAAGAAAAATCAAAAAAGAAAAGAAAGAAAGAAAAGATATAAAAAAAAAAAAAAAAGAAAGAAAATAAAAAAAGAAGGAAAAAGAAAGAAAA